GGGGGGGGGGGGGGTTAGATATCTCCAACAGACGAAGGAGCGTACAGAACACACGGTTGCATAGGCGTATACGCCATGCCTGCCAGCTATTTCGACCGATTTGATTGCCAAACAACTCGAGCAATTCAGCCAAGAACAAGTGTGGAGGAGTATCCAATAAACAGACTGCCATGCGTACCTCCGTACTACTGCACATAAGACAGCAAGTCGTGCAGCACACGTCACCGTTCCCCCTACTACTCGGCGCCAAACGGACCCATAGATATTAATCACGCACTGCTTCTCCTTCTGACGTGTAGTTGACTCCTGTAGTCTTAGGAGAGTAGTGTACCGAACTGGTTGGTGTCCCAAGCAGGAGGCTTGAGTCTTCGGACGACAGCTCACCCCTTCCGTGACGTCAACGCCATCCACGGTGACGAGCTGCGGCGCTCGGAACACCACGTACGTCCTGTACATCCTGCATGCCTCCATATCCGGCCTTTTGATGTCCATGAGCCCGGGGCATGCGGGGTTACGCATCATGCTCAGGTCCGAGATGAGCGGGAACCTCTCCAGTACTTGGTCAAGAAAAGCGGGGAGGTCAGCCACCTGAGGAGGAGGGGAGCGGGGGCGGGGGGGGGTCCAGGCTCGGTTCTGAGGGGGGTGTGCAAGGAAACTGGGCTTGGTCAACCAAGTTCACGTTTACGATAACGACATCTTCAGATCTGCATCTGGTGGGGGATTGGCTAGAAGCAACACTGTCTGGTTCAACGGGTACGGGGGCGAGAAAGAAGAACACTAAGAAACGCTTTGAATCCCATATGATGCACGAAGTCATTATTCGAGGGAAAAAAGGTAAAGTGGTTTGCCGCAGAAAATCGGACTCTCCTTGTATGGGGTCCGATCGCTTCAGCGACACTCGCTGACTCGTTCGCTCACCCTGTTGTTGTTGAACCACAATGTGGTTAGCGTCGGGATAGTCGGGCAGGCCTTGATGTCCTCAAGGTCGTTCTTATCTAACACCAGGGTTTGTAGAGAAGGGAAGCAGACCAGGTTGGAGAAAGATCTGCGGCGACCAAGGAGAAGAAGATCGAGCGGCGTAGACAAACGATGGAGATAAAAGAACCAAGCGCATCAGGGCACGGACAAGTCAAGACGAGCCGGCTTGGAACAACCAAGCTTCGCTGCTGCACTTTTCGGTGGTAGAGGGGGTGGAACCGTCACTGAACACCAGCCAGACTCGCTTGGGGATTCTTCCACGGTTTTTGCACACACCGGGACGTGGGCAGATGAAACAACCTTTCAGATGCACCTACTACGGCTGTGAGACCCACCCTATCCGCACAGCGGACTTGCAATGAAACCATCACTCACTTGAGATCGCACTCTGTGAGGTTGAGGGTGGTCACGTACCGCCCTTCCGCAAGAGCCAGCGATTCTGTTGGACGAGTGCACCGAGAACTTGAGCATGAACCAATAGAAGAAGAGCATCCATTCAAAAAATGGTTTGTGCAGAGAGCTCGACGCAGAACACGTTAGGAATTTCAGCCAGGCACCCACACGCGAAAATCACGGCATGCACATACATGAGCGTGCAACCTCCCGTGCAGACATGAGGCTGAGCGCAGCTAAACACACGACACGAATAAGTAGGACGGGATGTTGAATTTGACTAGAGCAGCGGTGAGTGAGCGGTACAAAACGCTGCTCTAGTCGCTTCTCGCTTGTCTTGGATGCAATCGCTACGCGATGCCATGGAATCGAGCACAATGGTTACACAATACGGAGAGAGGATATTGTAGGAGGCGACGGTTTTGGGCAACGGGCGCTGGCCGGGATACGGCGAGAAACACTTGGGCAATATTGTACAATGTACTAGTATTACATTGCACAAGTTTATCGAGAGAATCTTCAACGCTGGTGGGAGAGGCAGGCATGCATCTCACAGCAAAAACGGAGACGGTGCTTCTGTGCCAGCAGAGACGTGTGGTCAATGGCCTCGAACCTGCGGCAAACGGGTTATGATACTTTACGCCTCTTGAGACAGCAGCCACCGAACAACCACGGCGGTATTAACTCCCAGCGACGAATACGTAACCACACCCTCCGTGCTAACCAGGGGCGTCTCGGACAACGTGGAGCCCGGGCCAAAGAACGCAAGGGAGTATAAGTGCATCTTCTTCGGCGGGCTGGGCCAATTTCACTAGTATGATTTTCCCGCCTTGTCTTCACGGGAATGTACCTAGAGTAGTAGTGCACAAGAAAGGACGTCAAGCTGCGTGCTGAACGGGAGGAGAAGGTGGTGTCCTACACCTACAAGAATGTAACCTGGTAGAATTCGAGAGCGATTTGTACATCAAATCAAAGAGCGTTCACTGCTAGTCTATATCGTATTGTTGGATCGTGACGTATTTCAGCGTAACGTGACATCCGGCAGGAGTAAAGGTAGTCAGTATATGGCCTTCGACCTTAACCGCATTAACATCAGCAGCAGGCGGCCGCGCGCGCTAGGACCTCGTGCTGTGGGCTGTGGTCGGAGGAACTCTCAAACCTTCAGCAAGACGAGATCACGTTACCCACTTGGTAATTAGACACAACTACTAACCTGGAACGCTGCCAAACGGGCGGTAGGCGAGAGAAAGTTCAGCCCCGTCTCTCTTAACGCTTTTGAGCATCTCCGCCATCTCGTCCTCTTCAGCTTCAGGTGCCATCGGGTTTTCCATGCTCAGCAAAGCCCCCTAGTCTATCCTATCCTCTGAGCGAAAAGCGTGCAATGATGGCGTGTACGAATTCCCTCTCTCCGAGAACGTGCCGCAGCAGTGCTGTGGTGTTCAAGGGAACTTCAACCCCAATACTCCCCGCAACAACAGAAGACACACCAAGCACTCTCTCTCTACCTATATATGTTTATGTGCGTCGTGCTGTTCCCTCTCACCACAAGGCCACTACTGCTGTATCTCTCGGTGATATTACGTCGGTGCACCTGGCACGTTCTGCTGCGGTCCGTTCTCCGGTTCTTCGCCCACCGTAATTGCCCCGCATCCGCTACCGACGGAACATGGTTCTTCCCGACTCGGCCCCCCCAACACACGGAGGCCCACCGACCCAGGCTTTGCGTGCCTCATAGCCAGCTTCTACTACCAGCGCTTTCCTCGGGGTTCTCGAAGGCGGAGGGTGCTGGTTCTCCCCCTGTCCCGGAGCCGCGATCACTGATATGTCGTTTCAAGACGTGCGCCCGGGACAGAAGCCATCAAGGTGGCAGCAGCAACAGCAGCAGCAGCAACAGAACGGAGGGGGCTCTCGAACGACATCGTCATCGGCCGGCGGCGGCGGTGGCCATTACTCCGGACGGAAGGGAAGCAGCTCATCGGGAGGAGGGAGGGGGTGGTCTAATGCCTCGCGGCAGGGAGCGCGAGAGGGAGGCTTCGGCTCGGCGGGGCCGTTGAGAACAGGCGGGATTGGCGCCGGAGGGGGTGCCGCCGCGTTGCATCACGGAGGATTGGGTAGCAGCAGCAGCAGCAGACCAGCAGCCGGGGGCGTAGGGGGAGGGTTAGGGGGCGTTTCGTCGGGGGGGGGAAAGGTCGGGGACTACCTGGTGATCTACTCGGTGAGTGTTGTGCCACGTTTGGCTGCTATGGTGTCACTGCTATTATATATGCGTCACGGAAGTAGGTCCGATACCCTCGCGATCCGGCCATCAACACTGCGTGCATACGTTTTGCCCATTGTCCCTCTCCGATCTCGTTGTTGCGTGGAGCGAGGTTCTTGTCCCTCTGGTTTCTCTCTTAGCTCTCGCCGTCTGTTAGACTTGGAGCGACCCCCTAGCACCCGTGCCAGTGCTGTAACGTTGGTTCTCGGCCCTGCAAAGGACCACATTGCTGTATTCAGCAAGCAAGAGATGGGGTGCAAATGTTCGAAAAATGGGAGACACCAGCCATTTGCCGAGTTCAACTTGCACTGATCCACTGCGTACGAAATCTACAGAGTCATCGTACAATAGCCGTGCCAGAAGGGTGGCTACGCCGAGGCGACGCTGTGAGCGAGAAGCTTTTGGTGATTTCGGATCGCCGCATGTTTATTGTGCACTTTTCCAAACACTCCTCTGGCACAGCAGCGAAATATCGGTACCGATTTGCAGTCGGAACACAAACCTGTAGGTACATGTAAGCGCCCAAAGCACCAGTAGATGATGCCTGCTAGAGACAAATTTACGAGACCAGACTCCGGGAGTTACGTGACATGTGTAGGCCCCTTACATTGAGAAGTCAGTGGTGCCGGCCGGAACCAAGAACTCTCCCAACAGAGTTTACCCTCCTTTGTGTAGACATCTCCAGTAAGATCAACGGCAGAAATCCAATCCAGGGAGAAAGAGGCCTTCGTGGTTGGAACCGTTCATAATATAGCAAAACGTCCTCCGCAACACTTGTAGCGCGAGCGCGTCTTGTCTCTGGTTGAGCTGACGAAACCATGCCTGCCCTTTGGCAAGGGCAGGATTGATTGATGCTACAAGTCCGCGTGGCTTGTAATATCTCCACACATACAGCACAGCTGTGGCTCCCATGCTACTCGGCCCCCCCCGGGACTAGGCTCAGCACGGAACGTCAACGTCCCTTTCCACGGGGCGGCAGAAATTGGGCGAGCCAAGGCATTGCGACCACGAAGGTCTACCAAGCACGTGGCGTGCAGAAGAGGAGAGTCGGTAGTCTTAGGCGAGAGACGATTATAATAGTCGCGTCTTGCTACTGATGCTGACCCTCTCCGGTCGCCGGATGCCACACCGATGCCGTTTACTGCTGTCTACAAATCGGGCCAGGTCCCCTTTCCTAGCTACGACGGTCACGACATTTTCATGGCCGTTGTTGGCCGATGTCGCGAAACGTCAGCTGTAGGCTAGTCCACGAGGCGTTTCGCTGGCCATATGTACAATGCGTCTCATTCATCCTGCTGCTGGCCCGTAAAGGCAAATAGAGACACGAGACTACTCTCAAGAGGCGTTGATACCGTTACACACAAGATATACCAGCCGGGGTATACATACGATCATGCGGGTATTCGAGATAACCTTTTGGGCACGAGCACAAATGCATCGTCTTACAACTTTTTGCCCCCTCTGTTGTTGCCTCAACGCTGGTTAATCACACATGTGCAGCAAAATGTCACATTACTGCACCGCATGGTGCAACAGCTGGGCACGGCCCGAGACACCGGCGAGCTCCGCGGGCAGTGCCGGTGCCAGCTCCAGGTTATCGACGAACTTCGAGAAAAGATCCAGGGCCAGGTAGAGGAGCAGAAGAAGTAGATCCGTGTGTGTTTGCGCAGCAATATGGCGGTCGTGCCGTGTACTCTGGATGCTTTGCCGCTGGTCTCTGTCTCGCTATTATCCATGTATTCCTTTGTATATCAATATCTTGCCAAGAAAAGCACGTATGCATGTGAAAATATTGGGAATAGACGACCTCGACGTGGACACGAGAGGCACAGAAAATAGAGGGCTGTGGCACTATTATCATTGTTTACCAGTATGCCAAGAACAGGGAGAGAACAGTCGTATTTTTCCACCTGAGAAGGTAATGGCCGCCATAGGCCGCTGGGAGGGTACAATGAGCGAAACGTGCCGATCCTCAAAACCAAATGACGGAGATGTCTCCATTTAGCATGGGAACCCTCAAAAGGGACTCGTGCTCATCTGGCCGATGGCCTGAGTTTTGGCCCCACAGACAAGTACGCTAGGCAACATCCCCCTCCTCATCTTTCGGCCACATTAATCATCGTCTGCTCCTTGTTCCTTGCTCGCCGCGGCCGACGGGGCTGTGGAAACCTGTTCAGATGCGGCTGCAGCAGCAGCAGGCCGAGGGGGCTTCTAGGCAGGACGCTGCACGCCTCAGTGCGATGAACTCCAAGCTGACCAAGGATTTCAACCGGGTCAATGCCATCGCGCTGGACCTGGGGACGCAGGTGCGTGTACAAATGTAATGTGTGTATTGATAGGTGTGTCTTGCATGGTCATCGACCGGAAGACGTCGAAGTTTGCTTGGCATCGACCGCGGTAAATGAACGTGCGTCAGTCTTGTGAGGGTTGTGTGTGATGATGTGCGTGTTGCTGCGAGTTTTGTCTTTTTGTGTTTTTTGCGGCACAAAGAAAAGAGTCATCAGATAAGGACCCTTCCGGGAAGGCACTCCTCGAGGGAGTGTCATCTTGAGGGTGAGTATGAAGTGGAGCCTACCGGATACCAGACTCGGTGGGAGCCCTAGTATTTGGTGTTGCGTGTGCGTTCCCTGAGGTTGGAGGGCAGACGAAAAGGAAGGAAGAGTGGGGTTGACGGTGCCTGGCTTCCTGCACCTGTATCGTCTCGCGGGGCTTGTGTATGTGAGGAGAGGGGCGTTACGATGCTTGGTTGTTTGTTTCAGTTTGGCTTTTAATCGTTTCACCAGGGACTAAACGAACATGCGGCGCACCCTGCGAACGGGGTTGTTCGATAAGAAAACTCTGGCGGTGGGCGGACTGCTCACACAAAGCACGATTGCGACTCGAACTGCGTCGAGAACGCGAAAATACGTTGAGAACAGCGGAACGAGGTTTACCCCGTACGCCTCCGCAGCTGCACGACAGAGAGAGCCCCATGAAAGTTCCTCGCGCTTCGTTTTCCCGCGCATTGCTTGCTTTTGGTCGTCTTGATAAGACAAATCTTCGAAGCTGCCTGTTGTGCCGGATTTTCTGCACGCGGTCTCATCGCTCTAACTCGATGCGCTTATCGTTTGACACTGCTCGGGCCTTGTCCTAGGCGGAACGTAGAATGCGAGAGGTGGACGCTCAGCGGCAGTCGCAGGTGGAGGAGGACGAGGAGCGAGCACGAGTGGCATTCGCCGGGGCCGGAGGCGGCCAAGAGCAGGGTGAGTTCCTTCGTGCCGTCGATGATGGCGTCTGGTCCATTTCTTGCCGCGCGCAACTCCCTCTCGGTCGAGAAGACCTCCCCGATGTTTAGTTCGCTTTTGCCCACCTGCAATCTCGCAGCGTGCGGCGCAACAACGGTATCTCCAAACAGCTGTTGTGCTTTGTTGAGACTGTTCCCAGGGCTGTCTCGTTTTCTGGGCAACAAAATGGTAGCGTGAACTGAAGCCTCGAACCCCCTGTGCGGTCCCTGTGCTGAGGCCGAGCGTCACCACGTTGACAGTAGGTCGGCAAAATAACCGTAGGAAATTGCGTAGCAGGAGTTTAATCTAGTACGTTTACGTTGTTGGATGCGATTGGTTGGTCAGGCTCGACGTAGGAAATCTTGTTGGTCTGGCGCAGCTCTTGATCCCCCTTCTTCATCTCCTTGCATTTCCTGCCCATTGTACAATTTCGGCTCGTTCTAAAAGTATTGCGCGCATCCGGCATGGAGTGGCTTGATTGCTTGCTTTTGTCTTGTGTCTCTTGCGTATGGAGCCTTCTGATTCCCGTTCGTTCTGGCTCATGTTGCGCGACAGGCATGAGGCAAGTGCAGCAACGGCGGGAGCGGGTGCAGATGCAGGAGGAGGCGATAAACACAGCCATCATCCAGGAGACTGAGGAGGAGCTGCAGCAGATCAACAAGAGCCTGTACAAGGTGTGACGGAATCGATGGTGGGGATAGTGTAGTGGGGCAAAACAGGGACGTGAACGCCGACCTTGCTTTCGTTTTTGTATGTCTCACGGCGATGAAAATCTCCTCAAGATGTCTAGCACGACGTATTTTTGTGTTTTACTCCACCAAGTGTTGGGGGTACTGATGCGTTCTTCAGGGTGAGCGTCCCGGCGCTCAAGCTTAGCTTTGTGCATCTCTCAACTCAGCTGAGGTCGACCACAGGTCTAAATAGTCCCTAGCGAAAGGTTTTCAACGGCTTCATGCATGGAGATCGTGCGGTACTCCACAGCGTTGTCAAAAGAATGCTGTGGCAGTCAGACATCCGCAGTTGCAAGGTCAGTCTTTCCGCTCACCTTGGAGCTTTCGGTCGAGACCGCAAAGCAACGAGCTGGAGAATAAACACGTTGCCTTGTGTTGGTCCGTTGCCGTTCCGTCAGGTGAACGAGATCTACCGAGACTTGGCGAATATCGTGGAGCAGCAGCAGGAAGCGGTGGAGGAAATCGAGACCAACACGGAAGGGGCGCACGCTAGAGCCCAAGAGGGTTTAGTTCAGGTATACCATGTACCCGCGTTTGAGTCGAAGCTATGTACTCCACACTGGAGCTAGCCGTGGTATTTGTCCGCTGTTCCGTTGTTATGGAAGCAGTCTTGTTGATAGGGTGGGGCGGCTGTTGCACGACACCCACTGGCTCTCAAGAGAAGGGTTCTGATGTATTGTTGTGGGCAAGATCGCCCGCGCTTGATCTTTCTGCACCGACGGTCATTTATTTCTGGGTGGACCCAAGCTCTTGCGACAATAGCGGTTGATCCTTTCATATCTTGCCATGCTTTGAGACATGAGCGGTTGATCCTGACATATTCTGGTATGACCGCGTTTCTTTGTTCGGTCGACGCACAGGTTCAAAAGGCGAACGACTACCAGCCGTCGTGTGTAGTGTCATGACCTCCCCCGAGACCCTACACTCTACTCCAAAGCCTGGTTGAGTGCGCGCCCCTTCCAGGACATGGACGACGTCATGGCTTCACCATAACAAAGCTGGCTTGTCTCGCTTGCGTGGGTCTAGGGGCGGTGGCGAAAAGTGTCGGTACCACTTCGTAGCAAGGAAGGATTTTTTTTTGCTGTAACACAAAGGCTGGGAGGAACGCTCACGAGGAATGCGGTACGGGCTGTGCACATGCTTGGTGTCCACTCAGGATACTTGGTACGTGACGCCCTGCATGGTGCGCGACTGGATGTATAGAGCAGCAGTGTTGTAAGCACTACCGTTGTGCAGCAGTGAGTGGCGATGGGAGCCGGTGGCGCGTCTTTGTTGCTGCCCCGCTTTGCTTTGCTACCTACCGCGGCGGCGGCGGCGGTGGCGGTTGCTGCTGCTGTTGTACGGCAGTAGGATACCAGCCAGGACCGAGACACCCGTAAAGTTGTCGTTGTGGTGTGTGATGTGGTGGTGTGTGTGTTGTTACGGTAGAACTCGAATTCTCGCTTCCCCGCTAAGAAAATGCGCTTCCCTGGGAAGCCGATGAAGTCTTTGGTGGAAGTAGCCATGAGTGCCCTGCATGCGTTGAGTGTTCGTCGATAGTCACGACGCGCTCCCGAAAGTCATTGTGCTTGCATATATAATGAGCTTAACGGGCTACCATATACCACCCTTTTTTCGTATGTATACGGGAGGGCGTGATGATACTATGTCCAAAATGGTGGGATGCAGTGTGGCTTTTGCAGGGGCCCCTTTTCGTGTGTTGTGTTGTATAAGGAGGCGTTTTTGTCTGACTCTTGGTTTGTTTCATCCTTGGAAGTATTGAAGTGCTTGGCCTGTGTCCACCCCCGCCAACCCAAGCCCCTGGTTGTTTTGGTTCCGGCGGTGCAATGAAGTAGCCCGAAGTTTCGTTAAGGCTGCTGTGGTCGAATAATGATGTTGTCTTCGGTTGGGTCTCTTCACTACGCACCTTGCCTTCCTACATTACAGTAGCACGGTGAGGAGAGGAGAGGGATCGATGCTTTCCCATGTGTCTTAAATCCACCTGAACGCATTTCTAGGGTGGCGTTGTCGGCGTGGTGATATGGGCACCTCGTCGAAGGAATGCATGGGTTAAACACACAATTGAGACAAGACGAGACAAGGGAGGAGAAGCGGAAGAGATGCCACCTGAGTTGTCAAGAGGTAACACCCAAGGTCGTCGTTTAAGGGCACACGTGTGGCATATTTCGTGCATCACACGCAACGAGCATATCGTGAGAGCTCTTCATGAACTACTGCGCCAATCTGGCCATACGGATCGTGTGGCTGTTCCGCGTGCCCGCGGTTACCATGATGATGCAACGACGTCCAACGCTTGTTGTGACGAGAGAAACATCCACGTCCATTTCTTAGCGGAAGGCGTCGGCCTTCTCGTTTGGACACAAGGGTGCGGCCGCCATCTCCCAACAATAAAAAAACGCCCGTTGGTTGGTCTTGGGGTCCAAAGAAAATTAAAAGTTAGAGTGGCCCGCTCACTCCACATGCGGCTGTCATGCAAGTAAACCTTGATTCCAAGCTACATGAGCCCCAGCGGCCACCACCATCGATCATCTCGCTGTGCTCTTCGACCCCGCCCCTGGACTTACGGCTCCACCATCCACCACTTCCAGCGCTCCGCCTCCCTCTCCCTCCATCGGCTTGCCCTTGCCGTCGCCACCCTCCATACCACCGTCGCTTTCCACCACTGCCACCGCCTCTCCTCGAAACACCCCCTTGGAAAACTCGTACAGCTCCACCTGCGCCGACGCGCTCGGCGCGGCACGGTAGACCGTCTGCAGCGAGAACCCCTCTGCCTCGCACGCTCGGAGGAAGTCGGGCACGCCGTCGACCCCTCTACGCTCCACGGAGCAGAGGACGGTCGTGCCTGCGTCGCTGAGGCGTCCCATCACCTAAGCCGCGTGGTGTGCGCGCAAGGATAGCGACAGGCGTGTGTGGACGTTAGGTTTGAGTTCGTCGTTATCGTTTTGCAGAAGCGAGGGCTGCTCAACTTTTATCATGGTGAACATGTAGTCTAGGCATTTTGCTTCACAGAAAAGCAACCGAGGGAGGAAGCAGGAGCGAGCGTGCCGACAGCGACAGAGAGCAAACAAAAGCCGATCAAATACGGGCAGAGGGCCGAGAGAGAGAGAGAGACGGAAGGCCGCGATAATTTAAAGCGCGGTGGAATGACACGTCTTGCGAGGGTGGGGAGTGTACTAATGTAACACGCATACCGTAGTCGTTAGACCATTGACGACCTGACGACCTCGCATCCCTGTAACGCCGAGACCGAGCGACACGCCGGGTTTGCGCCGGCCCAGGCTAGGGTGGGGGTTGGGGTTCTTTTTGGGCCTCTGTCTTGTCCAGGCCCCGACAACGCCGCCCCCCCCCGGTGTTTGCCATCGGGTTTGGGTTTTCGTCGCTTGGCAACGACGTTGTAAAACAAGCCGTCCCCCCGGTGTCACAGTGCTTACAACTGTCTCTGGAAGTGAAAGCACCAGAAAGTAAATTCAGTCATACGCAGCTGTCATCCGCACGCAAGGAAGTAAGCACAAGATGCCGAAAACCCTTAGCAGGATGCAGCGCACCCTTCATGCGACTCGCCGAATATCTCACGGCGCTTCGCGCTTGGTGATGTGAGAGCCTGGTCCGGTGAGAACCCGGCGTGCTCCGTCCCGGCTTTGTAGGGATGCGAGGTCAATGGTCGAATGACTACGGCATGCACGACTATGAGTAC